TTCACCGGAAAATCCCTAAAAATTGGTATATATACTCTACATCTGGCCTATTTGATCGAGTATAAAGTGATTTGGTTAGTTACGGACATATGGCAACTTCGATGCCTGTGAGTGTGTCTGTCTCAGTATGTGCATGTGTTTGTTTGTGTTCGCTTATGTACGAAACCCGCAGTGATAGCTCAAAGTAATTAGGACAGCAAAAGTAAGGTCTAATCGAAGGTATGAAGACTAAGATGGTGTGGCCTTTTCTGTGGTCGCAGTCTCCTTTCGTTGTTAAGAAGTTGTTTGACCTTATTTTCGCAACTTGGTCACATTGGTAGGAAGACTAAGAGGAACGCACCTAGTCCGTATTCCATTGTATGCATCAATATTTCTAGAGTAGGACCGTGAACATGGTACATTCTAAGACGTTTCGCCGGTTGGCACACAAGTAAGGTGTGTTTTCGGTCACTAGGGTTTGATGACCACTATCTCCTCCTTTCTACATATATGATCCAGTAAAGCCAATCGACAGCTTTTCAAGAAGAGACCACCGTGAAATCGAACCTCAAGTCTCTTCACCAAACATTTTCACTCAAAATGGGAGTTAGTTCAACAATTATGAAACAAGAGATTTCTCGAAGCCCAACTTTTCTTCGTATTATCAGCGAAGCCTAGCATATTTTTACTTGGAGCAGAGGGATATGCTCCGAGAAGTGTTGACCAGACTATGCGGAATTCTCCGTTTACTGATGGGATCGGCCTACAAATCTCATATTCACACACACATTCACACGAAGTAAGGCTCACATCAAAGGATCCATTTGATAACTTCTTATCCGATGTGAGTTACTTATCCAGCTCAGGTCAACTTGGCCACAGATGCTGTTTCTAAATGAACAAGGGGCTGATTCTGTCGGGTTCTAACTGTTCAAATCAGTTTCCAATCGGAATGATTGCGAGGCTGACTACGATTAATGAAAGAAAAGGCTTGATTCTCGCAATAGCCTACACCCCAACCGGCTGCTCACGGTCGGGCCTGACCGCACTTTCCGCCTCGTCTTGGTTGTTTCAGCCTCTCCAGCAGACGTCCACAGTTCGAATCCCTCGACGAGTTGAAATTACAGTTGAGAGATAACGAGGTATGACTGCCAAGTGCAGAGAAGATATCCATCTCCATACGACAAGTCAACAGCTGAAATCTATTGCCATAGAGACCTAATCGTCTACATAGAGACACTGCATTTGAAGCAATGAGGCTCGATAATGAAAATGACTCAACTTGACCTATGATTACATACTTAGTCTAATTAATATATAATATTGATGATAATAATTAATTATTATTACCGAATAAAAATTACAATAAATAAGTAATTAGTATAATTCGCTTATTTATATTTGCAGAATATTTAAATTTATAATTTTTAAGTAGATATTAATACTAAGATGTGGAAGCCTCTATTTTGATCGCAGTTTCCGTCCGATGTATAGAAATGGTCTGACCTCGTTTTCACAATTTTGTCGTGTTGTTAGAGGGACCTAGAAGGACGCATCTTGTCCAAAGTCCTCTGCTATAGTAGTTGTGACAAACCCCAGCGTTGGACTAGGGGCATGGTACATTCCTAGTGAGTCTTACCATGCTTGTCTTCTTGATGAGTTGTATCCTGGTGATAATAATAGCAGGGCTCACTAATAGTACCGACTACGAGACCGGCGAAACGTCTGGGAATATACAAAGTCCAAGATTGGACGCTGGTAATTATTATAACTACTGAAACGGAAAAAATCGGACACTGAGCGTTCAATAAGGTCGTCCTGACAACACGACCAAGTCATGAAAGCGAGGTCAGACAACTTTTTAGACTTTGAGATAGGCGAAGAAAATTTGGCTTTGAATGAAGCTCTTGGTATACAATTTTATAGGCTTGATTCCCCATAGAGTGAAAGTGTGGGTGGAAGAGATTCAAGGAGATAATAATTTTCACCTATACAATATTGCTACCAATTGCTAAAAGAATACCACTTGTTTGACCACTGGCAGAGGCAAAAGGAACCGTTTGCTTTACGCATCTAATTGATATCGAATAATGCTTACAGGGTAGCAAGTCGGTAAGCGTATTACTTGAACTGAGAAATGATACCGATATGTTAACCAAGAGAAGCCGTGGTTGTCAGAGGTCAGCCACAATCTTTCAATGTGGTTGCTGAGCTACTGGGTGACTTCAATTTTGCCAGAACAATGCTGCAGACAGTTGCTACATCTTTCGGCAGAAAAGGAACTATAAGATAAAAGAAGAAGGCCGTCACAGGCAACATTAAGCAGCAACAATTGCCCAAACAAGATCAGTCAATTTTCTGATTTAACGATATCACAAGGAAAATATTTATTGCATCAATAAAAGGAATAATTATTTTACTATCAAACAACGTTCATTTTTAGTACCATATTGTACATACTTCATAACTGGAAACATGTTAAACTATCAACCAGGTTAGATAAGAGGGTAGATAT